ATCAGGAAGAATCTAAAAATCTCAATAGACCAGTGACTTGGGAAGAAATTGAAACAGTCATCAGAAAGCTTCCAGCAAACAAAAGCCCAGGGCCAGACAGCTTCACAGGAGAGTTTTACCAAACATTCAAGGAAGAACTAAAACCTATCCTCCTCAGACTATTCCAAAAAATCCAAGAGGAAGGAACACTTCCAAACTCCTTCTACGAAGCCAGCATCACCCTAATACCAAAACCAGATAAAGACAACTCAATGAAAGAGAATTACAGGCCAATATCCCTCATGAACATAGATGCCAAAATCCTCAACAAAATTCTAGCAAATCGACTCCAGAAGAACATCACAAAGATCATACACCATGACCAAGTAGGATTTATTAGAGGAATACAAGGATGGTACAATATCTGCAAATCAATAAACGTGATACATCACATAAACAAATTGAAAGATAAAAATCATACAGTCATATCAATTGATGCAGAAAAAGCATTTGATAAAATCCAACACCCCTTCCTGATAAAAACTCTTAACAAGGTGGGAGTACAAATATACCTCAACATAATAAAAGCTATATATAACAAACCCACAGCCAACATTATACTCAATGGGCAAAAACTAAAAGCATTCCCTCTAAGAACAGGAACAAGGCAGGGATGCCCACTCTTGCCACTCCTGTTTGACATAGTACTGGAAGTACTAGCCATTGCAATTAGACAAGAGAAGGAAATAAAAGGCATCCAAATTGGAAAAGAAGAAGTAAAGTTATCCTTATTTGCAGATGAATGATATTGTACATAAAAAAACCAAAAGAATCCATTAAAAAATGAATTGACTTAATAAATGAACTTGGCAATGTAGCAGAATACAAAATTAATGCCAAGAAATCCATGGCATTTCTATACACCAACAGTGAAACTACAGAAACAGAGACTAAAAAAGCAATTCCATTTACCATCATACCAAAAAAATTAAGATACCTAGGAATAAATTTAACTAAGGAAGTAAAGGACCTATATGCAGAAAACTACACGACACTGAAAAAAGAGATAGAGGAAGATATAAGGAGATGGAAGAACATACCATGTTCATGGATTGGTAGAATCAACATCATCAAAATGTCCATACTTCCTAAAGCAATCTATAGGTTCAATGCACTCCCCATTAAAATACCAACGGCATATTTCACTGACCTAGAAAGAACTCTCCAAAAGTTCATTTGGAACAATAAAAGACCCCGAATAGCCACAGCAATCCTGAGAAAGAAGGGTAAAGTAGGAGGGATCTCAATACCAGACTTCAAGCTGTATTACAAAGCCACTGTTCTCAAAACAGCCTGGTACTGGCACAAGAGCAGACATATAGATCAATGGAATAGAATTGAGAACCCAGATATCAACCCAAATCAATATGCTCATTTAATATTTGACAAACGAGGCATGAATATACAATGGAGTCAAGACAGTTTCTTCAATAAATGGTGTTGGGAAAATTGGGCAGACACATGCAAAAGAATGAAACTAGATCACCAACTTACACCATACACAAAAATAAACTCAAAATGGATACAGGACTTAAACATCAGACGGGAAACCATAAAAATACTAGAAGCATCCACAGGCAGCAAAATCTCAGACATATGCCAAAAGAACTTCTTCACTGATACTGCCCCTAGGACAATGGAAGCTAAAGAGAAAATAAACAAATGGGACTACATCAAAATAAAAAGCTTTTTTACAGCAAAAGAAACCATCAACAAAACAACAAGAAAGCCCACGGTGTGGGAGAACATATTTGCAAATAACACCACTGATAAAGGTTTAATCTCCAACATTGACAGACAGCTTATACAACTAAATAAAAGGAAGATGAATGATCCAATTAAAAAATTGGCAATGGACCTAAATAGAATATTTTTAAAAGAAGACAGAAGGATAGCCAAAAGGCACATGAAAACATGCTCAAAGTCACTAATTATCCGAGAGATGCAAATTAAAACAACAATGCGGTACCATCTCACACCTGTCAGAATGGCCAACATCAACAAATCAACAAACAACAAGTGTTGGCAAGGTTGCGGAGAAAAAGGAACCCTCGTGCACTGCTGGTGGGAATGAAGACTGGTGCAACCACTGTGGAGAACAATATGGAGTTTCCTCAAAAAACTGAAAATGGAACTCCCATTTGACCCAGTAATCCCACTCCTAGGAATATATCCCAAGAAACTAGAAACACCAATCAGAAAGGATATATGCACCCCTATGTTCATAGCAGCACAATCTACAATAGCCAGTATTTGGAAACAGCCTAGGTTCCCGTCAGCAGATGATTGGATCCAAAAACTTTGGTACATCTACACAATGGAATACTATGCTGCCATAAAAAGGAAGGAATTCTCATCATTTGCAGCAACCTGGATGGAATTGGAGAACATCATGCTGAGTGAAATAAGCCAATCAATGAAAGAGAAACACCACATGACCCCACTCATTTGTGGATAAGAAAGATCATTATAAACTGATGAACCAAAAGATAGATATAGAGACAGTAAAGCAACAAGCAGATTGTCAAATTACAGCGGGGAGGGGAGGAGGATCTGGGGGATATAATAGATCAACCGAAGGACTTGTATACATGCATATAAGTAAACCAATGGACATAAAACTCTAGGGAGGGAGGGGATGTAAGGTAGGGAGGAAGGGGGGCAAAAAAATCAATAAAATATGTAAAAATAAATAAATTAATTAATTAATTTAAAAAAATTATGAACAACAAATACGTAACTATCAACAAGTGAATCTAAAAACCAAGGAAATTTAAAAAAAATCTGATGAACAATATTAACTGTTGAATATAATAGAATCAGAGGTATGGAAAGGAAGTGAATTGACGATTCTTGGGAAAAAGGGGAGAAGGTGATATAAGAAGAGACAGAACATAAATTGTGCACCTATGGATGAGGACAATGGGTTGGGGAAAGGGCAAAGAGTGGGGTGGAAACCTGGTGGAGGAGAGCAACGGAAGGGAGGGGGAAAGAGGAACATTTGTAATAATATGAACAATAAAAATTTATTTAAAAAATACTAAGTGAAATAAGCCAGTTATATAAAGGTAAGTATGACATGATCTCACTTGCATGAGGATTCTAAGAAACAATGTAAACTGAAGAATAAAACGATCCATAGACATATCGATAGAAGCATGGGACAGACTGCAGAATCTCCCTGGGAAGGAGGAGGTGGCTGGGTTGGTGAGGAGAAATTAACTAGAATAAAGGACTTATATGCATATATGCACAACTCAGGGACACACACATTAGTATGAGGAGCAATGGTTCATAAGAATGGACTGGCGATGCAGTTGCCAATAAAAAGTTTGTCCTGAATTCAACAGTGAGGAAGACCTATCTGTGAAGAGCAGCTACAGCTTTTGAACAGGTTCAAGTCTGGGACTAATGAGAGGGCATTATCCTCTCCTTGCAAAGGCACGTGCCAGTCCCAGCACAATTATAGCCAAAGATTATAGTTTTAACCTTGACCTTATAGTCTGAACCTGTGGGCCCACATGGCTGAGTAATATGGGATTGTGGAGGTGCAGCAAGTAAACAAAGCTTGATCAGGTGCATGTGTTTGAGTAGATTCCAAACTCATGAGAACACTGTAAACATCTTGACTAAGCCCTTACTCTGTCTGGTGGAATCTGGCTATAAAATAAAGATGTGGCTTGCAGGCCTTGGTGCTGTCTCTCCATCAGAGAGAGCAGCATTTCACCTAGCCCCCGCTTTATTCCCTTGTCTCTTTTCACCATCCTTCACTACCCCCTCTCAGGTTCACCTGTGGCCATTCTGCCTCGGCACACCCATCAACTATAGCATCAAGGTCACTGGCAGATCCAAGTGCTGATACAGATTAGGATTTTTTTTCCAGTTAGATTTTTTTTTTTATTTTTATTTTTTTTTATTTTTTTTTTGGCAGTGATCCTTTCAAGACCTATACTTTTGGAGAAATTGGTCTATGTAAAGATGGACATTTCAAAAGTTTATTTCCATGTACATTGGACAATTTTCTCAAGTAATCTTCTCCTGACCGTGTGGCCACGTCTGCTGCAGAGTCTTTGCTGTTGTTTCAGATAGTGATTGGCATACAGACCTGTTTACTGTATTAACAAAGGTGGTAATTATTCATATTGGAAATGCATGTGTGACCTCCAAACAGGTAGATGTAAGTGTATAAAACAAACAAATCTGAATCAATTTAAAACGGGCTTGGAAATTTTTTGAAAAGCAACTTAAAACAAACCTTATATATTATTAAATACAATGATGCAAACAATTCAAAATTACTTATTTATTATCAAAATATTATGACTTCTGCTCAAGATAGTCGGGAAAGTAAAGGATGTACTCAAATCCTCCCATGATCACTGCAAAATCACAATAAACTACAGAACAATCAGCATTCAGAACCACCTGAAATCTAGATAAACAGAAGTTCTTAAGTAAGGATACAAAAAAGAAGCCATGTGGAGATGGTAGGAGGGGTGGAGATGTGCAATGGGCAGAACCACGTGGAACAGGTATCAGGGCTTTATTATTTTGTTTTACTTTATTCTTTTTGGTTTAAAACCAACCCCAGGGTTATGAAGATACCACAATTTCTTGAGATGGATGTGACCCAGCATGAAGGGATGTATAGATGTGAATCCAAACCAGCCATGTGAGATGGACCCTCATGTCCGAGGTATAGAACGGAAGGGCAGTGGAAGAGAGTCAAAGAGCACAGGGAGCAAGAGACAGAACCCCATGTGGATGGAAGAGGCATCTTCTACCGGGACATGGCCCAAGTTTTCCTGCACCCAAACCAAACCTACCAAGTCCTCTCGACTGGTCATTCTCAGCAGAAAGTTTCCCCAATTATGGTTCACATTGTCTTTCAGCACCTCCTGGGGTCATCAGATAGACTCCAGGGCTGCCCCACTCTGAATGGTGTGTTGTTAGCTCTGCGTTCACATCCTGGCTGCATCATGGGTCCTTCTGGTGTCATTTCGAGCCTGAAATAGCAGCACCCCAAGGACCACCAGGACCAAACCAGCCACACCAATCCGGATGAGATTCTCCACTGTGTAGTCTTGGGGTTTGGAGGCTGAAAAATGTGGATACAAAGGTCACAAAGGTCAGGGAAGACCCAAATCTCCAGGGTTCTGATGTCTACCATGATTCCCACCTCCCATTGACATCAGCATCCTTGTGATGTCTGAACTCAGCACCTGCTCTGAGTCACCTTTATCAGAGTTAGCTGTGCCCAAGTACTGAGGGTGGGAGGAAAATGGTCCTAATTCAGAAACTAATAGCTGTGTGTTCTGTGTTCAGCCTGAGACTCAAGATCCCATGAACTTATTCCCTTAAATCTGAAAAATCCCCTATTCTCAACAGCTGGGGACCCAAGGTCCTTGGAGGAGGGATGGTGTCAGGGGCTCCTGAATCTTAGGAGCACAAAGGTGTGAAAATCTGGGCTGTGTCTCTTTTATCCCACCACACCCAGGGCCCTCCTCTCTGGGGTCCACATTTTCATCCTCACTTGAAATTGTTAATCTATTAATTATTCTATTAACTCCTTTATTTAGTTATTACATATATTTTTACCTATTTCAGAGTGGAAGGGAGAGGAAGAGATATAGAAACATCAATGATGAGAGAGAATCATTGATTGCCTGTCTCCTGCATACCTCCTACTGGGGAAAAAGGCTGCAACATGGGCATGTGCCCCTGACCAAAATCAACTCTGGGGCCCTTTAGTCCATATGCCTCACTCTATCCACTGAGTCAAACCAACTAAGGTTTAACTCATTTATTCTACAATTTTACAAATGAATACCCACAGTGGTATTCATATTTATCAAATGGGAAATGTGGGCATATGATTGCTGATAGTGTGAGTTTTTGCTTTATCTCAAGGTACAACAAAGTCATAACCAAGGACATCCACACTTCTGGCTAAAACTTTAAGTCACAGAGAAAACCCTCTGAATTTCATTATTGAGTGAGCACAAAAAAGCAGAAAACCATGTCAATGTGTTACCCTACCTATAATAATAAAAGGGTAATATGCTAATTACACTGGACATCATTCTGAACATCCTGCTGGAGGAAGCCAGGACCGGAGTAAAATCTGGGTCCCAGGTGCCTGTAGGTGGCCAGAGGGAAGTCAGACTGGGTCCTGGGAGCTAGAGAGAAGCTGGTGCCAACACCCAGGGAAAGAAAGTCCTACTTTTGCACAAATTTCATGCATTAGGCCTCTAGTAAAACCCAAGATATAAATAAAATTATTGACCTCTCCTCATATAGTGATCCATGCAATAATGCTAAAGGTCAGCTCCATGATTCAGAAAATGCACATGGAAGATCTGCATCACTCAGTTGGGTTAATATCCAAATGGGTGACACCAAGAAATCTTTGTAATGTGTATCATATGGTTAAAGGTCAGAGAAAAGATAATTATAGGGCGATGTGTATCACTCAGGAAAAGATAGCATTCCTAGTAAATCTTCATGAAAAAGAAGAATAGATTGGAAGAAAGTGGCCATAGTGCTTTCAATATTAAATGCAAATTTGTAAATTCATAAGGTGTGAGGGAAGGCTGTGGCCCATTTTGGTCCCTCATTCCATCCTATTGGACGTGGAGTGAGAAAAATAGGTATGTCATCAGGAATAAAGAAGTGGCATTTTCTTTGACTGCTGGGGATTATAATTTTATATCAGAGGGCTCATCTGAAAAACAGTCCACAGGAAGCGTATCTTCCGGAAGCTAACAGGTTATGATATAAATATGTCCAAACAAGAGCTTTCCTATGTGCACTTACTACCATTTAGAAAATGTACAGGAATCAAACTGCTTACTCACAAATTACTATATTAGGTGTGCAATTCTCTAGTAAGTTGCTGTGTATTTACTGAATTTTACAAATAGTTGTTAAAATGTATCTAAAATTCCTTCATAAAGCTTATTTGAAAATGTGTCTGATAAGATTTTAAATAAACAAGAAGTTATTCTCCATAACAAATGTCTGGATTTAATTTACTCTCATAGAAAATATGAATAAAATGTTTACATTTAAATATGGACTCCATTTAATATAAGTTAAATAGTGAGTTTATAGATGGAAGTATTGCCTGAAAGTTCTCTAAAAAGAGCCATAATAGACCCGTGTGCACAGAAACCCTGAGCAGAGGTGAAGGCACAGAGTCTGGGCAGGAGGCCCCAGGTCCCACGAGCCCTTCAGGTCCCTCCTTATTCTCAGGTGAGCACTGGGGGCTGTGCAGGGTGATGCAGATGGGCAGGATGCTTCTTTATATAGCAAAGAGTCCAGTGGGGCTGGGACTACAGGAACCCAGATTCTGAGATGAAGACATTAGGAAGTGAGTGGTGGTTTGGTCTGTGTTCTCTGCTCAGTCTATTCACATTCCTGCTCATTTCACTCACATCTCACTCGCCCGCCCTACCCTTCATCTCTGCTGAGGTTCAGAAATGAGTTCAGGAGTGGGAGTGCCTGTCTCTACTCTCTCATGAGCTGGACCCTGCTCTATGGAACCTCCTCCCCCTCCTTGTTTATTACTGTCACCCACATTCCTAGGGACAGGGCCCTGAGCTGAGGAGCAAAGAAAGCATGGTACCAGGGCTGCTCACCTGAGACCAGCAACTCCAGGGGGTCACTGGGGTGTGACCACACCTGGGACCTGTTGCTGTAAGAGCCATAGCATCTGAACATCCACCTGTATCTTGCGGTCAAGGTTCCCACAGGGAACAGGGCCTGGGAGTGCCCATTGGGCTGTGGCTGTGAGTCCAGGGTCCAGGAGAACCTGTGATCTCCTTCCTCAGTCAGAAGGAACCTGTCATATCCCTGCCCTGAGTCACACAGGAGGGTCACACTCCCTCCTGGGGTCACAACAGGACTGGGCAAAGCTGAGATGTTGGGTTTCCTGTAGAATCCTAGGAGAGGAGGAGGCAGCTTGTTAAATGGGCTCACACCTCCATCATGTCCCCCAGAGGTGGGCTGTGAGAGGGAGACACCCTGAGAGCAGACCCCCTTCCTGAGGGCAAAGCCTGAGGCTGGGACCACTAAGGATCTCTCACCTGTCACCACCAGCTCCAGAGGGTCACTGTGCTCCGACCAGCCAGCAGGGCTGTGATAGTAACAGCGATATCTCCCTGCATCACTCCCTCTCATGTGTGAGATGGAGAACTGGATCTTGTTCCCAGGTTTCAGTGGCTTCTGTATTTTCCATGGTGCTGGGCTTCCCTCTTTATCCAGACGGTACTCTTCAGCCCTTGGGTTCCCCTCACAACAGAGGGTCATGGGGCTCCCCCAGGGGATCACAGGACCTGGCTCAGCCCAGAAACTGGGTTTGGTGAGGGGCCCTGGAAGCAATCAGGCTGGATCAAAGGACATTCCCACACCTGGTCCCCAGGTCCCAGTCCCAAAAGCCCCCCATCGGTTAGACAGATCCTGCCCCTGCTGCCTGGAGGATAGTCTTTTTCCCCAGGGAGGATTGGGACTTAGGACACCTGGGGAGACTCACCTGCCTGCACTGGGGTCCTGAGGCCCACACTCAGCCCTGGAAGAGAGTCCTTGTGAGAGATTTGCCCTGAACACTGAGCAGCACCCTCCTCCCCATGAGCCCCAAGTCCTGGGGTCCTGATAGAGCAGGGCTCCCCTCCACTCTCCCATCTCACCGAGGCAGAGCAAGGCCCTGAGGATGGGGATCATGATATCTTCTCCCAGAGGCTTCAGCTGAGAAGATGGAGGAGGCCACTGGGCCAGCAGGATGGACACCGAGGCACACCGGTGATGGTCACTTGGAGTCCATTCCTTCCAGTTATGGGTTTGCTACATTAGCAGCAAAGACACAGCCTCTCCAGCACCCTCGCTTTCATTTTCATGGTGAAGCGGGAAATAAACCCCCGGAGCCTTCGGAGACGCCCCTTGCTGGTGATGTGACCCAGACCACATCCTTTTCTGTCAGAGCCTCCCCCATGGAGCCTCCTTCCTTTTCAGCCCCTCTATCAGCACCTCCCTGTGGTCATCACCATGGACAGTGCCACATGGACCTTGGAGACACTTCAGGAAGACATGGGTTCCTGTGGCCTGCAGAGCTCAGATTAGCAGGGACACACTCACCCTTTCCTTGTGCAGCTCAGGGGTATGTCCCTGTGACAGTGAGCACAGAGGGAAATGCAGGACAATGAGGGAAGGAAGCCCTGTGGCCCCAGAATCTGGGTTTTTTTTCTTTCAAATGTTTCTTCATGAACTTCCCTTTTTTCATCTACAGCCTCCAGCCCCTCCTTCCTGGGAACAACCCTCAGGGTCACTTTCCCCTCAGGCCTCCTCATTCCTCAGGCAGAGGTATCCCCCTGGGGCTATGGCTTATCCTAGACAATAAAGGACAGTAATTTGATCTAGATCTTTGATTTGTTGAGGAAACTCCTCCCCCCCCTTTTTTTATACATGTGTCCAACCTGCTTCCTCTGTGAACTGAGCAGTAATTTCTCAGTCAGGTTACAAGAGAACACAACCTCTGTAATTTACTTACTCTTCAATGACCAACTCCTGGAGGGTCATTTCATTACAGAGATTCAGGGCCAAATGGTCTTAGCTTGATGGTTGCTGTGGAATTTGGCAGGAACCATCCACTGTCCCCACGAGCACAAGTTTCCTCTCCCCAAGTGACTGGGTTTGTGGAGTTTGCCATCAGGAGTCATTGTGCTGCTCTTTGCTTTGTACAGAGAGCACATCTCTTGCCCAGACAGAGTTCAGTTTCACCTGGTGCACACACACCTTCGGTTTTAAGGACAGCTGTGAGCTCCCTCTGCCCCCAGAACCCACCTGCAACCAGCAGAGCTGGTATGAACCACAGCTCCCACATATATCTGTGCGCATAGCAGCCCTGCTCCCAGCGGGCCCCATGTCCAGTGGAGGGAGCACCACTCCCATACTTTTCTTTATCCTTTTTTCCCCCCAACAAGTTTGAAAATATATATACATATCTTTATTGATTTCAGAGAGGAAAAGAGAGGGATAGAGAAATGTCAATGATGAGAGAAAATGACTAATAGGCTGTCTCGTACAAGCCCCACACTGGGGATCTGGCCTAGCACCCAGCACGTGCACTGACCAGGAATGGTTGATAGATAGATGTGCAAAAACTGAGCCATGTCAGCTGGGCTGATTCTTATGTAGAATCCTCCATTGTCCATCAGGTGTGTGACTTTCACCCTCAACATACAATCTCTTGAGTCCCAGTTTCCTTTCATGCAGCATGTCCTCAAGTACCCAACTCCTCAGATGGTTATGAGGTCGTCTGCTCTGGGACCTGGTGGAGGCCACCCTGGTTTATTTTCACACCTGACTAAGCCTGTGTGGTGAGCCCTGAGCGGTGTTATTCAGGACTCTGCAAGAATTGGATGATTGCTAAGCCCACGTATAAATCCCCATCTGTTCCTGATACTAAAAAAAGGCTATGCACACTGTGTCTGAAACATGTGGTCATCCTCAATGCCCAAAAAAGGAAGTGAAAGTTCCGCAGATGGAGAGGGAAGAAGAATAGACAAAGGGGGTCAACCTTGAGTAGCTATAGTGCCTGGATGCAGCCAGAAGTCATCAGCCTGGAGTTTCCCACCTCTGTGTGGACAAGAGAGGGACCCAGGGTGGCCACGCACACAGAGGGGATCTGGACTCAAGGTGAAAGTTGGGACAGGGTTGCTCCCTTCTCATGCTTTGGATATGGGCACTTGTGTCGCTCCGCCAATAGACCCAGCCCATGATCAGCACTGAACTATGTCCTTTGTGTGTGTGTGATTCAATCCATTCTAGCTAGGCATGGGCATCTGTCCAGGTGTGAGTGAGGTTCATCTTTGGTGTGGGCCCTGCTGGGTATATCACAGTCAGATGCTAACTTAGGGAGAGAGGAGACTGTGGGGCAGGGCTGATCTCACTCAATACCTCTTTGTATCCTGAATATCAGGACAGTCCTGGGAGGGACTCTCTGTGGAGAAGCAGGCATGTGGGAGGGGAGCGTACAATAGGAATGGACATGAAACGGAAATCCCAGGGGGTGAGGGGAGGGAAGGCCTTGCCTCCCATGCAACCTCTCCTTCCTCCTCACCCCACTCCTATCTTCCTGTTATTCCTTCCCCTCCCCTGCAGGATGGGGCACCATGGCTGTGCTGGCCCAGCTCTCCCTGACACAGTCTTCAAGTGGGACCCCTTCATATGGAAAATGCTACAGATAGGGTGGTGGGGATCATCCCTGAGGGTGTTGACTTCTGATGCTGCTGCTTTCCTGAATATATCAGGCTCCCAGATCTAACACTGGGAATGTTTGGGCTTTAGCTGACCCAGAAGGCAAAGGTATCCTGAGCAAAGGGTAATTGTTTATTGCTCTGTGCCTTGTGCATGTACCCAGGATGCATTGCAGGTACTCTGAGGTGCTTGAACCTGGTTATTCCTTCACAAACACTTCCCTTGCTGGACAGCAAGACCTCTGCAATGGGCTCCCATGGGCTGTAAAGTCTGAAGACAAAAACAGACATGGTGCCATTTTATATCGTTTTAAGCCTCATACATGGATTTCTGTCTGTGCTAAAGGGAAACCAGTGTCACTCACCTTGAAGCTGCCTGTGACTGCCCTTGGAAGCATTTGTGGGCTGAGTGGTGTTGGCCATGGGGCGAAGCTCATAGAGATGAGCCTGTAGGTGCCATGTGCTTGGTGAAGGGCACATTGAAGAAAGCACATGTGCTCATGTCCTGGCCTCCAGCCTTGTGCCAACTGCTAAGAGGAAAGCGTGGGTTGGATCCCCCGCAGAAAAGCTAAAGAGGAGGGCATCTTCCTGGACACTGATAAGGACATGGATGAGTTTGTGTGTGTGTTTTTTTGTTTGCTTGTTTTTTGTTTTTAATATTTTATTGTTTTTTTACAGAGAGAAAGGGAGAGGGAGAGGGAGTTAGAAACATCAACGAGAGAGAAACATTGATCAGCTCCCTCCTGCACACCCCCTACTGGGAATGTGTCTGCAACCAAGGTACATGCCTTTGACTGGAATCAAACCTGGGACCTTTGAGTCCACAGGCTGATGCTCTATCCACTGAGCCAAACCGATTAGAGCAAATTTGTGTCTTGATTGAAAGTTTGTGAGATTTTCCTGAAGACAAGTTTAGCTTCTATCTGATTAGCCTACCACTGAGTGTTATGTGACCCTGTGGGAAGTTTTCAAAGGATATGTTTTCCTTGGCTTTTCACACAGTAAATCATATGTTAATAAAGGGCATTGATCTTCCTTTCATTTTTACTTCTGAGATGCTGCCACCACCAGACAGGGCTAGTTTACCAAAAAGCAACATAGAACCCAGTCCTGCTCTCAGATTTCTCTGTTTTTAAGGAGCTAGATGCCCTTAATAATGACACAATTGACCTAAAGAGAGAAAAGAATAATGTGCAAGAGGAAGAAAGAGGTTAATCTGTTTCTAAAGAAGTTAAGAAGAAAGAGGTTAATCTGTTTCTAAAAGTTCTCATCCGAGGACATGCTTAGGAAGAAGGAGGGAGAGAGGGAGACAGAGAAACATGGATGTGAAAGAGAAGCATTGATCAATTGCCTTCTGCATGTACCTTGACCAGGGATTGAATCCATAACCCAGTTTGTGTCCTGACCTGGAATTGAACCAGCACTCTTTCGGTGCACATGATAATGCTCAAACAACTGGGCCATTCCAGCTGGGAGAAAGATATACTCTTCAACAGAGAATGGTGTGGGCCAGGGTCTACAGGATAAATTTTAAAGGGCAAATGCTAATCTGCTAAAACTATAGGCTCATAAACAGCAAGGACAGGGTCTCCTTAGTGGGCTGCATGAGAAGGAAGTCTAGCTGCATGAGCGACTCAGAGAAATCAGAAGAAAAGGTGCTGAGGAGGCCCAGGTGATCACATCTCTGGAGTCAAAGGAACTAGTCAAGAGTCGCAGATATGCACTTCTGAGGAAGAACTGGCCAAGCTGGGGAAGAGTGTAGTGGCCTATGGCAAGGAACAGCAGGATTGAGGCAGAGTGTGGAGTCAAGGAAGGGCCAGCTGGGACCTCTTCAAGGGCACCTGCATGGTTCATAATAGGAAATCAATTGAATGCTAATGGATGAAAAGGAAAGGGATAGAAAGGAAAAAGCTGGAAAACCACAGTAATCAATGAAATTGGTACAGTGACTGATCATCAGAGAGACACAAAATAAAACACAGGGAGGTCTCATCTCAACCATCAGAATGGCTACCTCCAACAAATTAACAAATGACACTTATTAGTGAGGATGCGGAGAAAAAGGAAACCTGGTTCACTGCTAGTGGGAATGCAGACTGGTGAAGCCATTGTGGAAATCAGTGTGGAGTTTCCTCAAATAATTAAAAATGGAACTGCCTTTATTCTAGTGATTCCACACCCAGAAGATATCCTAAGGAGCCCTGAAACAGAAGTCAAAAAGAACATAGACACTCCTATGTTCATAGAAACCCAATTCACAATAGCCAAGATCTGGAAACAGCCCAAGGGCCCATTAGTAGATGAGTGGGTAAAAAACCTGGTACATTTCCATCATGGAATAGTATGCAGCTGTAGAAAAAAAGGGATTTTTTTTACCCTTTGAGATAGCATTTAGGGATCTGGAGACTATTATATTAAGTAAAATAAGTCAGTTAGAGAAAGGGGAACTATGACATGATCCCACTTGTA